ACCCAACATGTCAAGTAAGCTTCTTCCGCGCTATTCTTGCTAAATGCAACAAACATATCTAGTCCAACACCAAGAATTAGTTCTAACTCCAGTGTTAACGAACTGTATGGTGATTATATTAGCATTTTCTGTACGTCATATCTTACAAGACCAGACGCCAGAGCAAAAGTTTTCGTTTCGGCTCGAGCCCCATCCTTTTATCCTGTACGGCACCTTCTTAACCGTACGTCTGGCGCCTCAAAGAATCTATCCAATGGTTTACGGCAACCAGCTATGTCAACAATCTTGCTTTAATTTATCCTTCGCGTTCGTTGTATACAAACGTGAGGACAACAGGCTTCATTCTCACGAGCAACGCGCCGCTACGTCGGCCACTAGATGGTAGAAGCGACGGCGGCAATGACACTCCAAGGCTTCGATGGCAGCGACAGTTCAGCTCAGTGCGCTATCGAGTGCTATCTATTCGCTCTACACGTACAGCAGCTATCTGATGCTGCGCAAGTTGGCTTATTTACGAGATAAACATTCATTCGGTCAGTTAAGCTCCTGCAGAATCGGTCAGCCCGTTGACAGTAGACGCTGGCCGGGCAGAGACCATCGAGTGGCAAGTCGTTTCCTTCTGTCTCCGCGGGAGCACTGACAGAGAAAAAGCACAGAGCGATACAGAGTGAAACGGGAGGGGTAGAGGGAGGGTAGCCGCCAGTAGCGGTAGAAGTGACACCTAGTGCTAGACGCGTACCCGCAGGTCGAAAGAAAACCGCGCCCTATCGGCATATGTGCCTTCTGCTTGACGGGGTCAGATCGTCTCGGTTTCACTGACGCGCGTTAGCTAGCGAAGCATTTTCAAAAAGAGAAAGACTCAGAAGAAGACAGTGTTGAATGGTAACGCGCTAACCTGAACTAGACACAACGCATGATCATGGGAATGCTTACGTAGGCATTCATATAATAGAGATTAGGAGATCATGAAGTGGAGGGGCTTGTTAGCCGGCGATTATTGCAAAGCTATGGTGTACAGCCACTGTAGCTACCAGGGCTTCATGATGAGGGTGACGATGAATACGGCACATCTGTGTTTCTTTCATACACCTCTGGCGCGGACCAAGTGATAGCGAGGCGGTCATCTGATGATGAATACGTGCGACAGGGGTATAGCCCTGTGTGTTTATGGGAACCGGCTGGCTAAGAGTCTTACGGTACGCTTGCGCCTATTCAGAATGAAGTCGAATTTGGCCCGTCGTCGCCTGTGGTCATTTACAGCACAAAAGATCAGTCCGTCTCTAGCCACGAGGTTGAAAGGAGCTATCGAGCGATACCACTAGAATCCACTTTACGATTCGAGGTACCACTTTAATTTCAGCTAGTATGCGAGTAATTCCCTGCTAAGTACAAATAATTATAATGTCCAATGTAAGCTAGTTATCATAAACCAAATACTACTTCCAGCTGAATCCTGATAAAACAAAGAAATGATAATTTTCTCAAAGTGAATAGATAACCTATGTGACTACCTAATGTGTACGTCTGTGTGTGTTCGTGAGTCTATAGGGTAAATGGCCTACGCATGCATATCTACAACATATATACAGACAAACATAAATTCATGAACACTGATAGATGTCATCTTTAGCTTTTTCAACAGACGAGTTTTCCTAAAATTTGCTGGCATGCCTGAGCCTAATCAGTCTTTCACAGACTCAGGATATATACATATATATAATATCAGGAAAGTATTTTAAACCAAAACTAAGGCAAAGATTTTCATATTTTAAAATAACATTGCCAAACGAAATATATGCCATTTTGACTAATAGCCTTCTACTGTTTTTTTTTTTTTTTACTAACACCATAGCCCAAAGAGACTTGGCAACTCTATCCATTTACTTTTGAAACATATTAAAAGCCCTTTCTATGAAGCCTGTTCTATATGTATAAGCACCGTTAGTTTCTGTTTCGTTGCAAACCTCAGAGTTATCTTGGTAATAACTATCTGGGCTTTTGAAAAACGATCTTCTTCCTACTGTGGATTCCTTTCTTTCTTTATGTATGTCGTTAACGGTACTGTGTTACGTCTAGCTCAAAATAATATTCATATTCCGGCTTTTCATCAAAAGCAAAAGGCTGGTCCCTGTTCCTTTGACAGTGGGTGTTACTTTAAAAGTCCTAAAAAAGCTAGATAAATTAATTGTTGTACTTAAGTTATTTGGATTGTAATAGCTCTTTCCACCAGAATCTACTATAGCAGTTAATCCAAATGTACCTCGTTCGTAGGCTGTAGCACCCTTGTGCTTTCGGCGAAAAATTGTGACAAGTGATTTTTGTATCTCTCCATTAATATTAAATTAACATGATTAAAAAAATTCTGGAAACACATGATAGTCTGATGGTGCAAGATTAACCCAACTTGTCTCAATTTTTGCCGGATAAATGTAAATACTTCGCTACCGTAGTAGTGCAAGATGGCGTTTCCTCTCTTTCGGTCGACTATTTTAATGGGCTTTTGTAATATTGTTAGTTGTTTATAGAATTTTTATTGTTTTATCAGACGGTAGCGACTCACGGACCATTTGTGGTGTCAGTCTGGGCTTTTCTACAGATTGTGGAGCATATCCTTTTTTTGTCCCTTTGTTTGGTTTCATCATTTGAACATGGTTAGTCAACTTTTCGTCGCCCGCAATTAACCACTCTAAAAATGGCTTGATTTGGCTAATAAATTATTTTACGTTGCTCTATATGACACTTGAATATCGAGCTTTTTTTTTTTTTGTTTTTTTGTTTTTTTTTGTAGCCAGTTTTCTTCAAACAATTTAAAATTGTCTAATGGTAAAAACATTTAGTTCTTTAGCGATATCATGATTATTCACGTACGCTTCGTTAAACATTGGCAAAAATGTCATCAGCTTTCTTCGCAGTTAACCGACCACTACGGGGATCCTCTTTCACATCGAAATTTCCAGAACCAAAACGACACAAATTATCGTTCTTCTGACCATAAATCGCGTCCGTTTTTTTATAAGTCTGGGCAACGTTTTTCTCTTCATCATAACATACAGCAAATTTCACTCATCTCTAAGGCGCTCTATCTTAAGTCTATTTAGACTTCCAGCAGCTTTGGGAACATGACCTGAATGCTGTCCTGCTCTTCTAAAACCTCCGAAATTAATCCATAAATGATTAATTTTATTCCCCTTTTTCCACTCCAAGACGGCGGGCAAGGGATGGGGCTTGTGATACCAAGAGATACCCACTCCATAGCCATATGCCAAAAGCATGAATTCCCCTTCCCACGACTTGAGACGATTAGATAATATTACTACGAACAGAAGTGAAACTGCAGTCGGAGGTTAGTCGATTAGTCCCACATGGTCTTATGTACAATACTGCACGACGTATGGGCGATCGAATGATTAGATCGATAGCACTCGAAGGGATTCGTGTGCTCGTGCTTAATATGGGATAAGCTTAAAACGTAGAAATGAACGGGAAGGGTATGTGAGAACGACAGCGAACCAAAGGGTGATTGTCTGCCTATCGGAGTCAAATGAAATAAAAGAATAGCGCTAATTAAAATCTACCCCCGAACTGTTTGTCATTCGGTCGCTGGACCATTTCTGGACTAATCCACGACTACGACAAAGGTATTGATGGCGGTTGCGACAGACAGGCAGTTAGCCAAAATCGAATCCAATTGAGACGAATAGAAGCTCGCTGCTTCGCTTCGGCTTGATCTAACAAATGTTAATCGAGAGTATTACACGCAGGACCACATTGTCCATAGCTACTCTGGACTTCTAGCTCCTGCGTCTTCTGTTCTCCGACCAGCCCCATCAGGTCTCAGCACCAGCTCCATTCCACTGTAAGCTATATTCGGAGCGCGCTATCCCTGAATGGCCGACGGTTGGCCATTGTGAAATGGAATCTGCCCAAGTATAGGACAAATTCAGTGTTTCCGGAGATGGATTCGTGCGGACGACGCCGACAAGAACGACGAACTAAGAGCCTTTAAGCTTTCGGGATCGGGAGGTTCTAGATGGTTCCAAAATGTACATGAGGGCAGACTTAGGGGCAGCTCCCATCTATGTGGACCGCAACGGAAGAGGCAGGGTGTTCAAACGCTGTTTTAGAAAGTGTCATTGCTGAGTGACGCTGACGCTGCGACTATGAAAAAAGAGGAAAAATGGAAGTGAGACAGCCAGAACGTGAGGGTGAAAAGACGATACAGAGTGGGATGTAAAAGATTCGGGGGTGAAGGCGGTTTGGTTGCCCGTAGAAAGCGATGACAACCGCCCAGATAACATAGACAATGGATTCAATAAAGACAGATGACGAAAGCGCAGTTCGGTTGTTCCCATCTCCAGTATCTGTTCTCTTCGCCCCACCTAGAAGCAGCAACCCTCGTGCTGTCACGGTGACGACCGGAAAAAGTAGACATGGCTCGCAAAGCTGTTTCCGATATGCGAATAATGATGAAGCAGGTTCTCAGGCCAGGGGTACAGCCTCATTTTCTTTTGTTTCAAGGACTACTATAATACTTTACAGGCCCTTATTGTCACTGGAAGTAGCATAATGTTATGACAGACATTCGTGCCTATTGGCAATGATCCTGAAAAATAGGATCAATAGGCCCCAGTCGCTTCCAAATGCATCTAGAACAGTACGTCATATTTATTGCAGCAAACGTACGACATAGCGGTATAGACCACTTTTAGGTTTCTTAGTGCGCCTGGGACTTTTACAAAACGATAAACTTTGAAAGGTCAGTGGAAGTTGAAAAGTAAATAGCCTTTTTAGGTTTGAAAATACTACATTTAAGGTTGCGTCAACATCCTGGGACTACACAAATTGTAGACTAAGGCTATTAGAAATGCCATTGCGTGTCATCCTGAAATTTACTCTAAAAATAACCCTGTTTACAAAGTCTAGCGTGGTCACCTATCTGTAGCATTCCCGTAATAAAGCCTACCATTATTGCCCTAAAGTGATTTGTCTCACATACTTACCAAGAACGAACCCATCTTTAGCCCACTGAACATCTCCTTCCTGATTGTCAACCTCGCAACGAAGTATCACACTTCCTCCCTCCACAACTTCCGAATCGGACGGCAGTAATCTGAAGCTCTGCACGGCAACCGCTGAAATCCAATGCGAATGATAAATTGTCCTGTTAGTACTGCAGAACTATATGTATGCTCATTAAAAATAGCAATTTTTTATAGTAAAGGAATCTGCTATTTAGTAGTGAATAAAAAATCGCTTACCTACTAGGTAAGCCTTTTTCTCTAATGATAAATACGTTGGACGTTTTTTAAAAAGATAGTGCGAAGAGTAGGGTTTTTCACAAGCTAATTCTCTAAGATATAAAAATGTTCTTATAGGTTCAAACAGCTTGGTACTCTACTAGATACCTGTGATCATCTAAACAGACTGTCTATTATAGAATATTTTGCGATTACCTTAAAGTATACGCAGTGGTGTAGGACAAAAATCAAGAGCCTGTTCGAGTAAACTTTAATCGCTGATGATTAGCGCATTCTGAAATAGTTCCGGCAGAGTTAATTACGAACTCGATAGATGAACACCTAAGATCTATGCACACTTTGACACCTTATTCTTCGGCCTATTTCGCACATGCATAGCGAATCGAGGTGTAAATTGGACAACTGGATGTAACTTGTTTCCATTTTCCTGAACCTCTCAGAAACTTCTCGTGAGTAGTAGCATCCATATGTCTAGCAAGTTATCTGGTCTCACATTAAGCTAAATTACGTTTTCTTATTGTAGGTTTAAAGCCACAATAGTCATTAGGAATTCATCATTTAATGTTTATCGCCGAAAAAAAGTAAAAGAAAAACCCATGAAATAAGCTAGAGCCAATTGCCTGTGCGTAGGATATACAATTTATAGTTTTTCGAAAATAAAAACAATCAGAGTAATAATAATTCACGCCAGAGACATCCGATTGCAGACTAGAATTATTGTTCATTTTTTAAAAGGGATCTGCTTCTCTACACTTGCGATCTAATTTAGTTTACGGCGAACTAAAAAAACAAAGGCGAACAAGAGGACCTCTTTCTTATCCTTCCCTTTGGCCCCGTTTTCATGGTCGTATGATTATTGTCGATAGTAGCTGGGGAAGACGAACCAAGACACACGAGTTCGATAAGTATTCAGCGAAAATTTAAACGATCACCAGAGTGATAAAACAAAGATAGTCGTACGACCGTTGTACGCTTCAAAGAAATCCAATTTAAGATGTTCCGTTTCCTCGAATTTTCAATACTACCAAGAAGTGCATAGTTTTATAACTCCAAGTTATATTAGAAATCCTATTTTATATAATGCAGCAGCTCAACGAGTAATACGTATATGACCAGCATGCTGTCGTATTGTACGTACCTATCTATGGATTATCACAACAATTCTGTTATGGATGCCCGCATTAAATAGCCGAACCTGCGCACTTTTTTAAATTGTTTAATTCATCATCGATCTGAGTACAGGGGGTCATCGTGTTTCAAGCGAGATATCAATCTACACAACGGGCATGTTCCGACCTTTACATAAGAGGCGCATTTTTTCTTGCTGGACATTTTTACGTGTCTTGTTCCTTATGGGAAACATTAAAAACACGCGTTTCATAAACTTGAGTTACATCTGTGGTCAGAAAGACGTGAACCGCTGCTAGGGATCATCCCGATCGTTCGTTTTACAATACAGCACGTAAATCGTCGCCAACAGCAAGATAGAACTTAGTTTCCCATGCTAAGAGCATTTCAAGACTCTATTCTAGCCTTTATTCTAAACATATACTATACATGCTCATATGTACACAGGTTAGTCGCTAGTGATGGTATAATGCGAAGCCGATGTTTAAGACTGTAATGCACACCCTTGGTGCTTACTGGTGTCCGAGATGACCCTATTTGTCGGGATTTTTTATACGCCTTAAGATGACTACGGCAACCTTTTACGTACCTGTCGAGACGTTTCCATGGAATGCTATTTGGATAGCGAGATTTAAACAGCGCATTTTTCCATATTAAACCTATATACGTACACGTCGATTAAGAATAACTCTATAAAAAGGTAGGCAAGGTGACATTTCGTTTCTTCCATGTTTAGAGACACAAAAATAAAAAGGTGGCCTATCGAATTTCTATTATTCTCTATTTTTCGACATGTTCATTCGGATGAATTTCAACGAGGGGTCTACTTTCCAGATTTATTCTAAGCAGTGTGTAAAGGAGCCAAGTGCAGCTGCAGACGTGAAGGTTTGACGAAGTCCAAAGTAAATATCTCTAATAAAGATTCAGGCAACTATTTTTCAATCTCGTAAAGCGGCTCACAGGAAGAATGGATGTTCAAATCAAACGCAGAACGGCAAAGAGACTGCAAAATGATTTACCTTCTGTGCACAAAGCTGAATATGAATACGGTCGATAATTTAGTAACGATCAATTTAAATGATTTATCTCGACGTACACCCCGAGGGATGTTGTAAGTAGTTGTCTTCGTCGCTATAGTTGTCTAAATACACAAAAAGATGACGGTCCCTGCCTCTGAGGAAATTCATTCCGGACACAAGAGGAATGCGATGCGTCGTCCAACCTTCCAGGATGTCTTTATGCGCCCGGAGCCATCAGTCTATGCCCTTCCAACTCGAGAAGGCATGAAGAAGAATGACGCTGAAACTGCAATCCGTATAAGAGAGGACGAGAAGTTTGTGCTGCGACACGACGACGAAGTCGGAGCTCGAAATGTTGCCCCCACAACACTCAAGGCTCGCTTACCCCAAAACATGACGTGAAATTGGCGCGACATTTGAAATGTAAATTTAGTAGAATGAAGTAGTTTCCATCGAAGTTGTAGCAACTCTGCGCTGGTGTTGATTCACTCATGTCGATGGGCGTCGCGGCGGCGCCTTGCGTTAGAGATCGACTAGGGTAAGAGAACAATGTCGGCCACGCTGGGATATTTGAAGGCAAGAGTGAGCGACATCGAAGTAGGCGGCTTCACGAGACTTAACGGTGAAAAGACCGAATCGACGGCAGAAGTAGCGGTGGCAGCCGTCGTCATCGCAGCACCACTAAATTCACTTAGCCGGCTGGAGAAGCCCGTGCCGAGTCCTCTGTCTCAACCTTTTTCTATCGCAACTCAGTTCGGAGGGACCAAGTCTAGTTGTAGGTTCGCGCTCGATCTCCGGCGAATATATAATAGAGCGAGCGGGCGAATGACCGTCCCTGCAGCCAGAGTTGCGTGTCACCATCTATAGCAGATTTTCTAGCTTTAACTCGCTTCGAGATTTTCACAACGTACCAGAGACCACGACGGCAGCGATGACAATGACATCATAGATTTGTTGACGACGTTTTGCTATTAGCTCTACAAACTTTTCGTACGTATACAACACACATAGACGCGCGCGTATGGACGTTATTAGAAACATCCTGGCTCTCTGCCTCGACGCTTTTCTAGGCATTTTGGATCTTAATTTGCACTTGCTCAACTTAAGAAACGACAAAGTGAGATACACACAGATTACAAAACGACGGTAGCTTTCGATAGGCGGCATTCGTTTTTTTTCTTTGTTATGCAACTTACAACTACGCGACACTGTGCTGGTAGTGGAATACTACGGGCCTTTACGCAAGTATAGAGCAGAAAGGAGATTTATTATAATCAAGGGTGATGCTTACGACATCAAGCAGTATTTTGATAGAAACCTAAGCAAATGTATCGGTTTGTTATGATATCAGCACTTGACTGACGCTGTGCAAACAGCTAGCAAGATAGAACCAAGCAATCATGCAAAGTTGTATACATACAGCACGAAAACAAATCCCAAATGTTGACTTCTTATGTCAATCTAAATGAATGTTTGATTTCAGTAGCGCTCAGACGGCCATACGAGATGAAAGGTAAAACTAAAATGAAACAGTTATCCTAGGAATGAAACGTAAATGTATAAATAAAACGTATTGTTACGTCGTATCATTAAAAACCTATTTTTCCATAAGAGAAGGAAACATGCACAGTCTTCACAAAGCGATGGTTGATAGATAGCGATTGACGTTCCAGTCATTGAGCTGGGATTTTCACATCTGAGTATATTCTGTGCATAGCCTGTGCTGTCGCCGATGCTGTTTAACCCTTAGTATACACCATTGTACTTTCATCCACAATATGGTGATAATAGTAATAATAATATTTATTTATTATATTAATATTTATTATAAATAAAGGGAAGGTCGCCCTTGTTTCCATATATTGATCCTGTGATTCCTTTCGTTACGTTCCCACTGGTCCTTCCATACAATCATATCTATCGGTCTGAGAGCACAATTTTCAGTGGCGAAGATGATTTACCTTTGTCAAAGCCATACTAAAACTTCCTCGACATTCTTCAAGAAGAGAAACGAATATTTCATTCATTCATTCATTCAATAAATCTATTAAGTTGTTAGGTAAATAAAGGCCATCATTCCAAGATGTCCCCTTTATTTCTCATTACTTTCTTGTCTGCTCAAATTCGCTATTATTTCACCAGATGCTCAGTGGAACCCTATCTAAGGCTCAGATTCCAAATACAAATGTTCCAGGTGAAAAGAGTGTACTTTCGACACTTACTTCATTGCGCCTCTTGCCGAGAGGTAAAAACTGCCGAAGCAGCCCGACATACTGGTAGCGTGCGTACTTTAGATTCCATACTTGAAAAGACTGGTTAGAAGCCATTTGCTAATTTCAAAATTTGCATCTTGGACTTAGAGGACGCACTTTCCGCCTCAGACGACCATGAGAAGTCAATGAGTACTGCCCGGAAGCATTTTTGGAGGAAAAGGGCTCTGACAAATTAAAGTGAGCTGCAGCTTTATTATTATTATTATTATTAGTTAACTTGCGTCGGTAATATCTACTCAAAAATGAAGAGCGTAAACACCCCACAACGGGAAAAATAAAACTGTCTCATTTTTCTAAATTATCTATGAATTACATTCTGTACATATAATGTAACTATCTTACATATACACGTATACAGACAAGGATACCTGGCTGGACTGTGCAGCTGCTTTTCGGTTGATTTCAAATAGCTATACCTAAATCTCATCGCATTTACTACACCCCTAGACCCTAA